CGGCATCCAACGAGCTTTGTCCAAACAACTTGTGCTCCGACGCTTGTTTTGTATAACTTTGTTGGCGAAACTAATTTATATTATTTGTAATATCCCCCCTCCAAGTCCGCTATTCTTAAGCTTTTTAAGTAGTTTATAAATAAGTTTTCTCCCGACTACATATACTTGCCCTACCATCGGGGAAGCAACTACTGCCTGGTAGAGGAGGGACGGAAAGAAACGATTTTTATGACGCTTTTTCTTCTCCGCCCGTCCTACGCGTCTTTTTTTCACTGCAGTTTTTCTTTTGTTATACACAGAACAGTTTCCTCCATAAATACATTATTTGCAGACAACGTTCTCAGTCTGGCAATCTTGTCGTCGTTTCGCTATTAAGGGGTAGCCCCCTTCCCAGAATACACAAATGGCCCAAGAAAACTGCACGCGATTAATGCTCAAAAATCCATTCCCCCCCCCTTTTTTTTAGCCCGACTACATTTCTATTACTTGCTACTTTATATAACGGCGAATAATCGTCGAAACCGTTTAATATTATTTACTGTTTTGGTTTATTTGAAGAGAAGAGTATGACAGATTTTGTATTGTTCTTATAATATTAGGTATATTATTATGAGGACTATAGGCTTTATGCAATAAATTAATAACCGGATTTGCTTTATGGTCTTGACCTCGAGATATACCGTGCATGTTGATTCTGCGTATTCTCCGATTATAATTTAAGCATTCTAAGCAAGATTTTAAAGTTATTTATAAAGCCGCAATAGTTGTGTAATCGGAAATGTCAATCGATGTAAATATTGTTTATGGGTGTGTATATTAATGGTGATATATAAACTCGATTTATGTATGCCTACATAATATGGCGTATAATATATATACATTACCGTTTGGTTGGAAGAAGTGACAGGTATGTTGTGTGACAAAACGTTGCTATTTAAAGTGAAAAGAAAATTGTACTCGACTACTGAGTCCCTGATGTATGTTAGTAGTAGAGCCGATGATTCTACATGTGTATTTTAAATACACGCGTAGGACAAGTTCGTGTAGTTCGAATTCACGTGTAGTAGTTCGTGTATTTAATACACGTGTAGGACCCGAGATTCAACTAACGACCCAATGGCTATAATACTTTATCTATCTTAGTGACAACCATTAATAAAATAATAGTATCACGTAAAATTAGAGGTCTTATTAAAACTTACAGTTGTAAGAATACGTGTAGTTGCAGGTACACGTGTACTTATAACTACACAAACTTCACGAACTACACGAACTTCTACACGTGTTTATAATTACACGAACTTCACGTGTTACACGTGTATTTACTTACACGTGTAATCGGTAGTTCTAGTTAGTAGTGATAGTTTAGTGTACTTGCTGCTAAAGTGATATTTTTTATAATCTATATTAAAAATATTTATAGTTTAATTAAGGTAATTAGGTAATTAATTAAATGTATATATTATGTAATTTGTACACCCTCGTATCGTTTATTGTCTCAGTGAATATACCAATTCCTCAATGATATCTCCTCAACTTGTGTGCTCCATCTCTTTCTAACATTAATTCCGACTTTGCTCTCTGTATTTGGTCTATTTCTTTATAAATGAATTTATGGGTTAGGATGGCCGATCAATTTTGTTTATCAGAAATTAGGCGGTAAACTGCGCTGCAATTGTTATCACGTGATATTATCGTATTTATCGCACCTAAAAAATCAGTATGATATAACTAGTAATCTGTACACGTAAACTTTTAGAGTAGTTTCTACATAACCATATGATATAGCTTATTTAAACAAATTTTAAGCGAAATGTCAATTAAATAAAACGGATATAAATGTCGTTTTGTGTCAGACTTCCTAACTGCGATGAAAACAGGAGGAATACATAAAACACGTATTCCGCCCGCCACACTTAAAATATTTAAAAATAAAATAGTATTTTCAAATTCATAATAACGAAAAAAAAGCAAGGCTAAATTACTAGAGTGACATAAACTGAGCTTTGCGACTAATCGTAAAGCTCTGCATGGCTACCGTAAAAAATATAACATACAGAAACTTTTGTACAGGGTAACAAATTGTATTTATTTCATGTGTTGTAGAAAGTATGATCTAATTGAGGTTATGCAATGTTAGCATACAAGCGTTTACAAAACACTCAAAAAAGTGAAGTACCCCTGTTAGAGTTTTACAGTTTCGCAACTTTATAAATTGATTAATTGAATAAATTATGTAAAATTCGATGAATTGAAAACGTTTATACCTATATTTTAATAGGCCTTAACGATTTAATGCGGTTTGTTGTCCTACACCGCCTACTTTATTGAATAAGAATTACGGCTGTTTTCCCCACATTAAGCATACCTACAAAGGGGCGTTGCGCGGCGTATTGACTTTTGCAATATCCTTGACTAGAAATATTATTTTCAGTACACGGCTTATGAATTATGTATGCAGTTAATCCGACGACCGAATAAAAAATAAATTTTAATGTAACGAGCGAATAAATCTTGCAAAACTCATAAACCTGACCCAATTTATTTATAATTATTTTTATACCTTAATTATTTTTTTATTCAAGTTTGTCAGTTGTCGCACTCGACTAATCAGATGACAGGATGTCACAATTACAGAATTGATCATAAATATGAATATTTTTTGGCCTTGCATTGAAGCAGAATATAAATAGAAAGCACAAGAAAAAGGAGATACATGTAGATTTTACAAAATTAACTCTCTAGAGAGCAAAAGATAATGTTTTTTAATTCTAAAGAGATTTTATGAAAGATTCATAAATGTTATTCCCTCAAGTCTGCAACATTATTCAAATCCTCGTTTATATAAAAATAGTTTCAATTAGTTATTTTAAATGGTATTTACCGCTGTGCTCGTTGCAGCACAAAGGTTTTACATGCTTTCATGTTAAACTGAAAAAGGTCTTTATTATCTCATCCAAAAAATTAACAACTCATAAAATGTAGTTCGCCTATATATATTATATACTGTTTAAATTTATATAAAAGTATATCGAAATTTTATTTTCTAAAATATTATTAAAACTACGATTAACACCGTATTTAACACCACAGCAGCTATACTTAATATTTTTCAAATTACACTCAATTCTTAGTGCTATATCGTAATCGGTAATATTATGCTGTTATTTATACGAGTAATTCGATAATATCCGCTCTACTCTGCTAACAGAAAGACAGAGCGGAGTTTTAGTCAAAGCTTTTTTCCCACTCTGTGCAATAATTACACAACAATAAATATTATTGTATATTCTACGCTGTCTTACACGATTATTTAGAAATAGTCCGGTTTCTCTAATAATAATCGTATATAATCTCAATTAGCCCCTGTATGATGGATAATTTCCTACGGGTAATTGTTATTGAATTTTTCGGTCGGTTAAAAAGTTTCCCGTTTTAATCTTACAAACGACAATGGGAGGACAGTGTATAGTCCGATAAAAAGTTTTGGTTTTCATGATTTAAAACAAACAATTTATTCGTTTTTTTTTTTACTTAATAAAACTACGCAACCGTGTCGCCGAATTAAGTACCTACTCGAATAATAATAATAGATTTTATCCAACATCCTCGCAAAGTATTTATTTTTATGTGTGCTTAGGAGATAGTAGTAATAGCCGCGCCCCGTTTCTACGGAAAAAATCTGAACGTTAAAGAGAAGTAACTTCATTCTGTGTCCAACGGAGTCCAAGAAAATCGTCGCACGATAACGTTAGGTAGTAGTGTCAACCAGTTTTCTTAACTGATTAACATACCTCTTATACTGGCTCTAATGGTATTTTCGATCTACGACCAATTTGTTATATAGCCTTATAAAACTCTATACATTTTGAATTTGTGGCACGCAAGTGGCGTAATTACAAGAGAAGGGGATAATAACTACGTAATATTCTATGTTAGGAAATAATAAAATGAGAAAACGAATTGACATTTTCTCGGTAATCAATGTTGTCTTATAAAAGACATGAGACAAAACCAAAAGCTTTCGAAAATATTCAGATCTTATTGTTTGCAATTTTTAAGGTGAAAAAACGTATTGTTCATTTTGACAACCAAAAAATCAATTTCTATGACTTATAAGCCATTATCGACAACTTCCATATTAAATGTTTCTAGCAAAATGTTTTCAAAAAAAAAAGCATCGAATATTAAATGGTATTTATCTTCTAACAAAAATGCATATCGCGCAAAGGCCTTCGATAAGTTTTCGCTGTAAAATAAATTATCATATTTTTTCCTTCAACTTATTGACGCCGTTAAGCAAAATTGTATTTTATTGTAAAACGATAAAGCAACCTTTTTAAAGCGAACGAAAAACGTGCAATACTTTTCTATAATACCTTTACTTAATTTTTCAATAGTATAACGATCACTACCGTGTTAGTATTTCAAGCTCGACGAAAGTGAAATCTTGGGCGCGAACAAGTGGTCCGATTTTACCTTATTATTTTTCCTCCAGTTGAATTTGCTCTAACTCGTGCAAATAGAGGTAGACCTGTTATGTGCGGGAAAAAACGTGTTGTCTGACCGTTTGCCTTATTGCCGCACCCTTCGCGCTTTTCCCCTCTGTTTAGCGTCGTGTAACGTAATATAAAATAAAAGAAAACTTTCTTTTACCCCTCTTCTGCCCCGCCCGTCAAGTTTTGCGCGAATCTCCCAAGCTTTGAAAACAAACTTTTAAGTACATTATAGCTTTTTAGATGGGCTGGGCCAGATATCGACGAATAAAGTTTTGTAATTTTTTCCCTCGTATTCCTCTTCCGGACACGGGACTTTAAAAAGAAAAAAGTTTCTAAATTAAAAGACACTTTTCCCAGTCCCGATATTTTATGAATTATGTGCGACAGGAAGGAACAAGTAACTGCTCTCTCTCAGTTTTAATCTTTTTTATTATATCTTTATTCCGTTTGTATTTTAAGCGTAAATAAAGTTTATTGTATTATCTCATTTTGTGTTTACAGGTTCCCTTCCCCCAGTCACCGACAGGTATGATCTGGATGTCTTAGGAACGCCCGTAATAGATAAACAGTCAAAACGCAAGGATTAAACAAACGTGTTAGTAGTCCAGTAATGGACAAACGGAAAATGATCACAAAAAGGACAAGACTCGATACATCTATACGGGGCGCAGGGTCTGGAGCCGGACACATCATCACTAATGGGCCTATACAAACAAGGCCATTGGTCGCTCTGTTGGACGGCAGAGACTGTTCAATAGAAATGCCCATCTTGAAAGATGTTGCAACAGTTGCGTTTTGCGACGCCCAATCCACTTCTGAAATACACGAAAAAGTATGTTTAATAACTTGTTTTTACCAATAACTATTAAAATTCAAACAATGTAACGAGTATTGGTAATTTTAAAAGATCTATTTATGTTATTTTAACAATAATTTATGGATTAAAAAAAGGTATACATTTAAAAAAAAAAGTACTTATGGTTTTAAATTTACTGTTAATAAGTACAACTTTTTGTATCGGAGTTTATTAATAGTAATAATCGAAACCCTTAACTTGGGGGGTTAAAAAAATTTAGGTAATCACCAAAAAATATGGATTTTATTGGGTGCGTAGCGTAGTCTATTTTATAATATTATTAATATAACCTATTAAAAATAATCTTTGGAATACGTGTTGATTGTGATGTTAAAAGAATTGTCTAATAATTATACTTATTTTTATAGTACTAAAAAAAGCTCCAATAATTTTCGGGACGTTAGGTTATTATTTTTTTTTTTTTTTAATAATTAATAAATAAAGTGCATGTAAATTATGGAAGGATATTTATTAGTTGTTTATTTAATTTACAAAATTATGTTCAAATTTTGTCAATGATTTTTATAATAAGATTCATTTTACAGGTTTTAAATGAAGCTGTCGGTGCTTTGATGTGGCACACTATTGTCCTAACAAAAGAAGATTTAGAAAAATTTAAGACTCTTCGAATAATTGTACGAATAGGAAGTGGGGTTGATAATATTGATGTTAAGGTTGGTGTCATATTTAATTTTAATCTGGTCAGTTATTTTTATAGAGTTTTTTATGCTTAGGCTGCTGGTGAATTAGGCATTGCAGTGTGTAATGTGCCAGGGTACGGAGTAGAAGAAGTGGCTGATACAACACTTTGTTTGATATTGAACCTGTATCGTAGAACGTACTGGCTAGCACAAATGGTCAGAGAAGGCAAAAAATTCACTGGCCCAGAACAAGTGCGCGAAGCAGCTCAAGGATGTGCTCGTATTCGTGGAGACACTCTAGGGATTGTTGGTTTAGGTAATAAGTCAATATATATATACTAAATTAAATCTAATTTAGTATATATAACTAAAGAGTTTTTATTTGATCATCAGGCCGTATTGGATCAGCAGTTGCATTAAGAGCAAAAGCATTCGGCTTCAATGTTATTTTTTATGACCCTTACCTACCCGATGGAATTGAAAAGTCTTTGGGCTTAACTAGAGTTTATACATTACAAGTAAGTTTTATCAGCCTTGATAAAAGTGTGGTTATAGCCTAATGTTACACAGTTGTTAACTAAAATTTTATTTGTACAAATTTAACTAGGATTTGTTGTTCCAATCGGATTGTGTATCGTTGCATTGTACTTTGAATGAACATAATCATCACCTCATAAATGAGTTCACCATTAAACAAATGAGGCCAGGTTAGACCATACATTAGTAAAATAAAATACCACATTATTTTAATAATACAATATTTATTATTTATTAGGAGCTTTCCTAGTAAACACCGCTCGAGGTGGTCTAGTTGATGACGACGCACTCGCAACGGCTTTAAAACAAGGGCGTATTAGAGCCGCAGCCTTAGATGTTCATGAAAATGAACCATTTAATGTTCTTCAAGGTATATTTTATAAATTATAATACTCTAATTTAGATGTTTTAAAATACATTTTATTTTTTAGGACCTTTAAAAGAATCCCCTAATTTATTGTGTACGCCGCATGCTGCTTTCTACTCCGATGCCAGTTGCACAGAACTACGAGAAATGGCCGCTAGTGAAATTCGTCGTGCGATCGTTGGTCGCATACCTGAATGTCTACGGAATTGTGTCAACAAAGAGTATTTTCCCGCCTCAGCCAGTTATCCGCACCAAGCTGCAGTCGCCAGTGTTTCAGCAGCAGCAGCAGCGGCAGCTGCCGCCGCCACTAATCCTGACGCCATGAATGGAGGGTTAGTAAACAAGAAAGGAGTTTGACTCATGGGATACATTGATTTGAAACTTTCAAACAATATAGAATTAATAAGAGTTAGGATAGGGGAAAGAGAAGAGATTAGCTAGTAAGTGTGGGTAAGCAGGGTGGATCAGCTGATACAAGATAACCCACAATTGAATCTCTTTTCACGTATAATCTATGTTGTATCAATGAACTTTAACTTTTCTAGAAAAACATTCTAACTGATCTATTTTATGTTATCTTTAAAATCGTTATTTTTACATAGGTATTATGCTGGGGCTGGTGCAGGATCTTTACCAGTACAACAAGCCCATTCTACTACTGCACACGACAATGTGCCCGGGTCGGGCTCTGCCGCAGCGCCGCCTCCACAACAAGCACCCCCAAGTTCACAATCGGCTCCACCTGCATCTGTTCTCCCACATTCATTAGTGAGTAATCTGCCGTCTGTCAGTAGCGGGGCGGATTCAGTGCCTTGAGCACTGCCTGTCTCCGTCGCCTCTCATTCCTCTGTAAAAACAAAAAAATTAAATATGTAAACTCCCATTCATCCGACCTGCATCATAGAAATATTAAATGGACATTTTACCTACTTAGGAAAAACCTTTAATGCAAGAACATACATGAACAGTAAAATTAATATTTCAATGTTAAATTCACTTTGATTGTATTTCTTGTAAGAAAAAAATGATATATTAACATTTATGTTGGTAATTTTTTACTTATTTTTACTGCACCTAACATTTATTTTTATTTTTATAATATTATAAACATTTTTAACAGTTTAAATTATATTACAGTCGGGTTACGTACTGCTTTAATTTAGTGCCAATAGTCTTTTTTTACTACTTCATCATTTATTACAATTCATAGGAAGTTATTTTGTGCAAATTCCGCAATAAAGGCCTCACTCAAATTTCCTTTGTTCCATTGATACTAAATTGACTTTATTGCTTACGTCCATAAGTTTGAAATAATATTATTGATGTTGCTATTTGTATTTATTTTGCTTTACTAATACTGTGATCTGTGTTGCTACGCCTGTTAATTATTAGAGGGTTTGCCTGAGCAAAAAAATGAATTGTTCCAATTATACCGGTTTTAAGCGATTTTTATTCTTTGGTATAAAAATAAAATTTACGCCGTTTGGATTTCAATGTTTGGCATAATTTCGCTAAAATTAACTGCAAATTTTTACTATATATATATAACATTATTGCTATATATAATATACAATTTTATATATGGCAAAAATAGAATTTAAATTTGTATCATAAAGCCTAAAAGAATACTAATATTATGCGCTGTGATTTGTGTACACAACTGAAATATACATTTTTTTTATATATATAAATAATCGACCAACTTAGTTCCTTATTTTTGTATAATTATTACATATCATTTGGTTTTTTTTAACATCTAGTTGATATTTATTAAAAAACTATATGTAAAACACTCGTTAAGTTTGAAATGATTAAAAAAGGTGTAAATGGATTGATTTCGTCTTGAATTGTTAATTCGTTTATATTGTAATTAAGTGAAAAGGAAATAAACTAAGTTTGGTCTTTTATAACATTTTTTTGTTTAGCTTTAAATTGTTCTTTCTCGGTGATCTTTTTTTTATTGGCACCCTTTAATAGTAGAACGGTATAAATAATATGTTCTAAATAATGTTACATTTTCTTAAATTAAATATTGTATGCTGATTAAAAAGTAAATTATTTTTTTAACAATAATAAAGTCTATATGTATAGCTTAAAATTAGTGTTTGCAAATTATGAGAAAGGGCGCGGTCCGATGACTGAGATGATAATAATGTGTGTACTATATAGTTAAATGACATGTATGTAATCATATTAATTAACTTCTCAAGGCGTCCTAGGGATGGTTTAATTATTTGTATGGTTTTTTCTTAATGTTCCGTTTCTTGATTTGTCGCTGCGCCCTTGGCGGTAAACTTCGTGATCGCTTTTATAATATTAATGTTGACACGCTTCGGGAATTTTGTGTTTACAATTTTTTTTTTTTTATACTGAACCTTTATATTTTTATATTTATATTTTTTTTTAGTTTGTTAACACCCAACTTCCATACACTTCTGGACAAAACGACCGTGACAATACGAATAACGTGAGCCAAAGTAGTCCGTCCCTGACGTATAGGCCTGTCGTATGAAAGGAGTACTTTCTACTCCTCTAATGCTAATTCAGATTTCATTAAAACGTGACTGGTCAAATTATAAAAATTAAATGAGATCATCCGTGAACTATTGTCGTGTTTTTTGTGACAGTTTTTATGTTTGTTTTACATAGAAGTAGTATTTGTCTTAAATACCATATTATGTTATGGGTACATTTATATATAAACCTTAAAACTGGACGCCTTGGGTCATGAAATGCTCAAAAAAAAAGTGTATCTTTTGTAATGGTTATGAATTCATTTGGTCCAAAACAACCTAGATAGTATTTTCAAATTGATTCTGGTAACCATAAGTGCAATCTTTTCGTTATATAAAAAAATAATATAATTCATTTGAAGCAAATTTGTTAAAATTTTGGATTTGTGGATTTACTATCTATTATGTAAAAAGATTAAATAATAATATTAATAACAATGTGTAAATAATATAACATATTATTTTAATTGATTTATAGTATCGGTTTTGTTGTTATTTTTACAACTGACAGAATAAATCAATTAACAAAAAATTAATTGAACGGGGAATAAGCACTGGGTTCTTGCAGAAACAAGAGCATATAAATTTATGTTTTTTCGTTAAAATTAAATGGCAAGATTTTTAAAAAATTATTATTTTAACTGTAAATAGCAACATCACATTAATTAGTAGTGATTAATACATTACGTTTGATAATGGAACTTTTTAACTGTTTAGTGTGTCTAACTGTTTATTATTTTGTATTATTCAAATGGAGATCATATACAGTTGTACTGACTATTTAGAATACAACAATTGTAGGCAGGGTGGGGGAATAAGAAAATAATTTTTTTTAATGTTTTACTGTATTTTTTTTATTCTTTGTGTACCATACTGGTACGACTGATTTTTCAGCTTACAATAGATTAATTTTTAATGCATTTTAACGGTTATTAAATATATATAAATGTTAAAATATATTATGCATATGTATGTATAATTATGATGTTTAGTTGTTTTTTTCCTCATGTCAAATTCATGTAATACACAAAACAGTGAACACACTACATAATTACACTCACGCAATATTTTAATTTATGAAACTGTTATACGATATACAAGTATGAGCAATTGGATATTTGTGTATATATATATATTAACGACGAAAATTGTGTCTTAAACCCTTTTAAAATTAAATAGGTATCGTTTTAAGAATTAAAATAGATTTTATGTTTTAGTTGTATTTTGTGTTGTAACTAGACCTAAATTTAAGTTAAAGTTGTAAAAAAATAAACACAATATAGTAAACCATTGACTTAAAATTATATCTTTCAATAAAGATAAAACAATGAATGTCTTGTGCATATATTGACATGTATCATCGTACATACAAAATATTTTGTAATAAAACAATTTTTGTTTTAATCTTAAGTAAAACAAAAGGTGATGTAATTCTTAATTTGTTTAATATTTTAATGATTAATTTAATTATTATTACTATACTTTTATGTATTTCTGTTAAGTAAACAAATCGATCGATTAATATTTGGCTGGGCCCAAATTTTTTTTTTTAATTCAAATTTGTACATATAAAATTTAAAAAAGCAAACAAATTTATCGAATACAATTTAAACTATTATTTTAGAAGTTGTAAAGATAAAAAAATAAGTGTAACATTTAATATTTTATTTGAGAAATTACAATATATTAGTGTTGCATGGAACAATAATATTAATGTTTTGTTTTTTTTATTCTTTGTTAGTCATGAAATTGGAAGTAGTTATTCAGCCAGTACACAACAATTATTATTCAATATTCCTTTGAAGGTTTTTTTTTTACCAGTGAAGTTGGCCAAACATTAGTGTTTCTTTGACATTGTGTCATGTTAACCGGAATACATAAGTACAAATAACCAAATTATTGTACACGTAAAGCTGTCTGGTGATAGCGACATCAGTGACGGCCTATATTTACCTAAACTTCTGATACCATTCATTATGATTTGTGTGTAAAAGTTTTAAGGATAAAACCAAAAAAATAATACTTGTGTACATGCATTTATTATTATGACTAATTTATAATTATAATTACATAAAATATTGACTAGATTGAGAATACACTTAAAAAATTAAAAAATAAAACAAAAATTATTATAATAACGTATAAATATCGTACATATTGGTGTATTTTATAAATTATTCCATAGCAACAGCTTCTGTACTTGAAACACTATTCTTGTAGTTTGTAAGCTTAGAGTAAATGCGGTATTCCGCCATAAAAAAAAAAAAAAAAAATATATACACAATGTACGTTGGGACTTTTTATTAGGTAGGTAGGTATTGGGAACAAATAAATCAGTATGTAATTAAGCTACGGAAAATTCATTCAACTGTAGTAAACGATACAAAATTTGTAAATAACCATGTTGTAATATTAATAAAATAAAAGCCAACTCTTGTGTTTACTTTTGGTAAGGCTGTACTCGGCCCGCCTTATTTTATTATTATTAAGCAATTGTTTTTTTGTTGTGAGTTATAGAAATAGTTGAATTTTAAGACATGTGCGCATCTCATAATATCGATTAAGTATGCTAATCGCTAAAATGTTTAAATAAAGGCATTACAATGTTTGACGCTTGAGCCTATTAAAAGTGTCCTGTCTAGTGTTAACAATAAATTATTTATTCATGAAGGTGAGCTCAAATGAACGAGTTCGTTGAGTCACAATTAATAATATAAAACAATTTTGGAAGACAAAAACTAGGTAAAATGGTTTAAAGGGGAAAATATTAACATTAATACTAAAGGGAAATCCGATCCACTATTAATGTGATTTCTGTTTTAATATTGCTGCTCTAACACAGTGTTTAAAAACCAGAATGTACTTATCATTCCTATGGCGTTATTACAAAAGCGTAGTAACGCCCTGTAGTACATTAATTATGGAAAAAAAATCGTTTTAAAAATATTGAAAAAATATTTTAACTTTCAAAATATTTTTTCCTCAAATCTCTCTTCAAGTATAATTTAATAAGGTGTACCTTATGTGTTTCTTATAATGACTATTTTGATAAATAACTCACACTGTAACAATCATTTTGTATTCAATGACTATGAATTACTAAATTTGTTCAACTAATAGTGTTCCTTAACCCGCCTATATTTGAAACTTGTGTCTGGTGTTCAGTAAAAAAAATGATGGGGAATTATGACATAACACTACCTATTAGGGTTTTCTCTTACTGTATTATTAGGAAAATTTTCGATACCCCCCAAAAATAAACACGAATACTTCAGCCTCTGTAAGTTAAAAACATAATTTACCGACTTAAAATGTTATCTAGTTTGACTTAAAGTTACTGAATTATACTAGTAGTTAAAAATGTTTATATCTTAAAGATGTCTTACTTTTTAATAACTTAGATTTAACAATTTCTTTTTTTATGTACACTTACGGCTTGGTACACACACAAGGAGGTAGCTTAACGCGTTTTGACGTTTGCAGTTTTTGGGTGATAAAAGTTGTTAGGGTTTGACGTCATCCGCACGACCATAACTATCGTAGCTTAGGATATGATTAGGGTGACACAATTACGGGAAAATTTCTTGATGACGGTATATTTGGTGCCCGGCCGTCCGCCACCGTCATACAGGTAACAGTATGTCGGCGCCGTTCATGCCGCTGTGGACTCGCATATGCCTGTTCAGGTTGCCCGACTGCGAGAACCGCAACAGACACAGCTTGCATTGATACGGTTTCTCGCCGGAGTGTATTCTCAGGTGTTTGGTTAGGGTGGACGAGTCGCTGAACGCCTTCTTGCACAACCGGCACCGGTACGGCCGCTCGCCTGAGTGGGTGCGCATGTGCGTGGTCACCGAGGAGGACTGCGAGAACCGGCGGTCACAGATTTGACACCGGAACGGTTTTTCACCGGAGTGAGTGCGAACGTGCGCGGTCAGGTTGGCTGCTTGGCTAAACGATTTGTTGCAGTCGTCGCACCGGTACGGTTTCTCGCCGGAATGCGTTCGCAAGTGCGTCTTCAGTGTGCTCGGCCGCGCGTACGTCTTGCCGCATATTCGACACAAGTTCGGTCGGCATCCGTCTTCTCCCGACGTCGATCCGGAACCACCACCGCCGCCGCCGCCGTTAGCTGGCACGCACTCGCCACCTCCCGTCGACATTACCAGCTCCGTGGGTTTGCGCTCCTCGCAGTCCATAACGTCGTCGATGTTGCATGCAAACGGCGGTGGCGGCAGTTCTTGTGGCCGGAAATCGGCTGTGAACGAGTAAGTCGCACCGCCGGACGGATAGTTAGAGCCCATCGGCACTAACGGACTCATCAGGCCTTGGTGGTGCGCCGTTTGTCCGTGATGGTGTACTGGTGAAGTCGAAGTCGGCAACGCCCAACCGACCTAAGAGAGCCGCAACACATAATATGAAATTAGCCGTTATTTCTTAAGACCCCATATTCATAAATGCGGTAAAAACTTGAAGGGCTAAGAGTAAGACCTTCCATTACTGTTATAAGCCCTCGGTATACGGGCAATATTTAGACAAGTGTCTATCTCAAATATGTTCAAGGTTACCTACATCAAAGTATAAACGCGCATATTCTTAAAATGTTAACAAGTTATCATTTTATGGCAAAAAAAATCTCTTCGGGTCTATAGTAATGTTAGGCTTGGATTACTTGGAACAGGGTTATTGTCGTCGACAGATAAAAAGATTAGGTTAGATTGTGTTTCCCGGTCATCGTAACGCTTTTTATTAGGTTATTCCCTCCTGAATAACCTATTCTATGTTAAATAAAAATGGCCAAGAAAATAGTTAGGTCTGAGTCCAACCATGGATTAATATTAGTAAGTAATACTAATAAGGATATTATTAATTAATTAAAAAACTAAAAATTAGAAAATTAAATACTTTTTATTTGTAAGGTTTACTAATATTTTTGCTGTGCTAAAATTTTTTTTAAACACGAACTTAGAAATTTTGTTTGCACCTAGGCCTCGACCGCGAGTGTTAACAATTTCGGTACTACTTTCAACATTTTGTATTACAGTAACTTCATTGCCTTAAGCTTTATTTTTGTTTATTAATTATTATTTATTATTGGCTTTACACAGTTAAATACGCATTAATATGTGCTTAGCTCCTAATCAACTCGTGAATTGTGAATACCTACATGTTACAGATTTTTTATTAAAAAAAGAAAAACTTTAAATGTCTTAATTTTTATCATTGCGGTTATGGACTTCATTTTACATATAATATTGTGGTTGGGGGTTTCGGTTTTCGGTAATAAGTAACAACTATACACTAAACAGCCTTACTCAAGAACACTTTTAAATCGTTAATTAAAAATCTGCTGAGCTTTCTTAATTCCACTCTTCGAATTTCGTGTTGGGGGCCTTTTTAATTCCTAGGACAGAAGAATTTTTTTAATTTATATCGCCCTTAGCTGCTGTCAAGTGCACGAGTTTCATATCAGTAATTTATTTGTGTTCCTTATGTTTTATGAGTTATTCAGTAATGCTATTTTTATAGTTGTATTACCGATTGACACCCGAACTGAGTGTCGCCGTGTAACGGTGGATATCCGTGCATTGTCATGTTCATGCTGACGTTCACGCTCATGCTCGGATACTGTTGCTGTTGTTGTAAATGTTGTTGATGACCGCCTAAAGTTGTCCAGCACGTCTGGTCGCCGTACGGTGATCCATCATAGTCTACAAGCGGTGGAGAATCATCCTGTAGAACGTTATTAATTAACTATTAGTAAATACTGTTATTTAAAAAAAAATATATAACTTTTAACGTTTTGGTTTTCATTATAGTATTTTTTTTTTTGAATTTTTCGTGTTTCCATTATCGAGATCTTTAAAAATGTATGGGTCTGTCATTTACTTTTATTTATTTTTTTTTTTTTTTACTTACACTATCGAAGTTCCTTACATTACTGGCCGATAATGAGTATCCCTGATCATGGTGTTGATGGTGTTCGTTAGAAGATTGAGGAGTCGATACTGTGTGCTTCAGAGACAATAATACATCTGCCATGTTATCTCCACACGGTTTACTGCAAGTAAAATTAATGCTTATTCACAAGTACAATATTGATAATTTAAAATATTGTTATTCATTTTGGTTTTAACGTTAAATAGGTACCGACCATAATTTATAACAAAACATGAACTTATTAGGATAAGCAAGGACGGATACAAGGGGCTTTGGGGGCTGAATTCCTTTCCTATTATGTACTATTGTATGCATTAAAAGTGCTATTTTTTCATAACATAATATAATTGAATATTATAGAACTTTTTTACTGTATAAAAGTTAACTCAATGACTATTACTTACATGTATTTTAAGTGAATTTTTTCTAGCCCCTGCTTTTTTTAATTCCTAGATCCGCCCTTGGGAATAAGGATAAATTCTTTAAACTAATGTGTAGTTGGTTTCGTTAGATAATTCAGAATTTATAACGGACAATGGTTCGGCGTGGTTACAAGTCGTTTCGCCGAATAATATTTGTTTAACTATAAAGATTTAAGGCATAGTTAAAAGTTTTTAAAATCTACTTTAACTGCTTATAACAATGATGATGATCATTGTTATTATTATGATTTGCTAAATAAATTCTATAAATTTGATTTTCCTATTTAGATTATTAGAATTTGTGTTTCAATAAAGTACCTAATTAAGGTTTACTGAACAATTGATTGTAGTCTTTCTATACGTATTACTATTTAGTTTTAAATACGTGTTATCTCCTAATTAAAATTTAAAAAGTCCTTAGATTTGTAATTAACTGCTACGTTTGATAGATTTGTAGTAAATTAATTATGTAATACATAATAATTATATCATAGTTATTTGTTATGACTTACGAGTATAATGAAATAATCAATTCATTTTTTACCGGTCATGGTAGAAGGCAGCCATAATAAACTTGATATCGAGCGTATTCTTATATAGATATTAATATAAAAAGTTATATACATATCCCAGAACACGGACCATTGTGCAGTATTTTAGCTATTAAAAATATAAATATTGCAACTGTTAACTAACAAACAAAAAAAAACATAAACAAATATTTTTGTTTTGTAATAAATATATATTCATTGAGAACAAGTAATAATGTTCTAGGTGTATTGTCGTTATAACTGCAAATAAAATAAAATAGCCACAATCAAACGTTGTTTAATGTAAACTAAAGTTTATTATCAATAAATTAGATATCTCAAAATAGCTCTGGAAGCTCCAATCATCCTTAAATAATTGAACCGTTGCATACTAATTGTAAAACTCACCGAAAACAGGTATGCATAGGTATTATCCATATTTATTATTAATCATTGTAAAAATATGAAATTATATTGACATACCGTATTTTCGGTAAGTATACTATATACGTTCAACAATTAAAAAGTAAACTTTCAAAAGTTGTGTACGTATTGTTTTTATTGAAATTTTGTACTTTATTCATATGAATTATGTACTCCTAAATTTTTATTAATGATATCATTATTATTACCAAAAAAAGATAATATATGTTTTATAGTAACCTACCATTCTTCTTAAAACATTTTCAAAGAATAAATATCGTTAACTAATACAGGAAATAGTAGATGTATTAACTATTAACTACGTAATACACATTACCCTAAGTTTAATTTTAGCATTTATTAATTAATTGGATGTATCCATAAACTCTAGTATGCTAGTTACCTGACAAAGGGCGTCTATTTGTAATATGGTTATTATTATTATACGAAACCACTGTTGTATGTATATAAATATATTTATATGTTTACATTGTTAATTAATAGTACCAAATCTATTAATGACTATGATAGAAATGTTATTTTTAGATTAGACATCCGCAGATCTTTTAGGCAGTTAGTTGGCTTTCTTTTTTCAACTTGGATAATATTTACTTGGTAATATTTACTCAGGTGAACGTCACACAGTTCTGGGAAACTGAACAGTTTATCTCGAAATTTTTTAGGTAATTTTTTTATGTATTGTCCAACAATTAACACGAAAATATAAGAATTAAAAAAATGAAAAACTTTTCTCTTATAAATATTGGTTCCTTTAGTAGTAACTCGCACATAAAAACTTAGAAATTTACAACAATCTAGGTGAAATTTTTCCCTTTTTTTTTATTTTTTCTTAATACAAAAAAGTTTGACTACAGATTTTAAAGAAATAGATAATAGTTTACGTATAGTATACGTAAACTATTATGTTATAGCCCCACTCTATATTTATCTACAGTCTAATTTTTAGACCTTTAGTCCTAAAACTTCGCTTGGAAAAGAGAAATAAAGTAAAACCTTCCACACCTTTTAGGGAAAAGGTTTTATGATATATTTTTGGTTTGTCAACATTCATTAATAGTACTTTATCTCAAGAATATTCCATAGAAATTTAAAACTAATTAGACTATTTTAACAAATGTTATATATAATTATGCGAGGCCAATATTAACAGAAGATCGGCCAAATTTTTTACAATTTATAGAAAATAACGTTATACCTATTTGCCGTAGCGTTTTTGTTTTTTTTATATCAATACTTCATAAATTTTTTTTAATAAACAAAAATGAGAAAAAATTAAACTTTATAAATGAATGTTTTTTTTTGCTAGCAATTAGCACTTTTATTAGTTGTATTAGTTACTTATTAGTTTATTAAACATTCTTGTTAGTATAATACTACTAAGATTTCTTACCGAAGAAAAAATCATACAAAAGTAAATTGCAATGCGGTTACTCAACCTGAAATAAATGAACGTGATACGTGGGAGTATAAATAAGGTAAACATAATATTTCCCGGAAACTATTTTGGTACACCTACAAATATGAGTTATTATAATTACTTTTCGTATTAAAAATGTATTATTACTGTTATATTATACTCAGATATTATTATTATAAAGAAAAACGCTCAAGAGGACGCTACCCACCCGTAATTTATCCACGAAAAATGGTTTTGCAGGAGACAAAAATGCGAGGGCGGTATTTACAGTAAACGTATAAAATGTTTACAATGTATAGAGAAGAACTTTATCTACGGGATAGCGTTTTTAGTTTTTTGATAACTTAAACACAATCAAAATTATTCATTCGTAAAGATTCATTTTCCCCCTATTTTTTATTTGTTTATAAAAAAATATCAATTATAGATATCAAAAAAATTAAAGCGCTACCCCATAGATAAAGTTCTTATCTATACATTGTGAAAATGTATTAAATCTACTCTTAATACTGGCCTCACTTACTTATGTCTCACGCAAAGCCGTTTTGATAGGAAAAAAAATGTAATTTATTCTATAGAAATGACTGTGGTAGTCTGACAAATAAATGGCAATCAATGAAGTATCCTTATTAGTTATTACTGTAATTATAAGTATGCACTATAGTTTAAACTCTTAATTAAGATTTTTTCGAAAAATTGTCTTAGAAATGGCCTGGGTAGCGTCCTCTGTGCTTAGAAATTAATACAGTGTTGTCCTGAAATGAGGTTTTTGAAAAGTATTTTCATCCTGAAATAGTACAGTACTTTTATCTTCCATCAGTGGCGCGAACAGGAAAAAATTGCAGGGATGGCTCTAACCCACGGGTATGTTTATAATTTATTATACGGTATAGCTATTTATATATCTTATTATAGTTCAAAGAAATTTTACTTTAATTAAAATAATATTACAATTTATAGTTTTAATTAAATTGTTCTGCGTTTCCCAAAAGTAATTTATTATCCCAAGTATTTAAAATTTTATTTAGCTAAACAAATTGAATTCGCTTAATTTCCTTAGCTCTACTAAGTAGAGTATCTACTGATTATGGATATTGTACTGACTATTTGTATGTTGCGATGTATAAACGTTTATAATTGTTGACAACAATTTTACTCAATAATTTTTGTATATAATGAAAATTTAGAGCAATGAGCCTGTTTAAAAATAAGAAGTTCCGTTTTTTTGAGCCAGTCTCATACACACTGCACAAATATAAAAAGCTTAAATTCGTTTGAGATTTATTTTCCTTTCATTATTGGACCAAAAGCTCAGATAAATATGTAGTCGACAATAACAGTGCCCACTACATGTTACACAGTACCTATACATTTGGCTTTTCTCGCGAATAAAAACATTATCAACTTTAAACTCTCAGTAAACCAATGTGTTCCAATCTTACTCAACTTTCTAAAATTTCAATCTTTCTCGATATAAAATTTCTTCGTAAGAGCATCTTCGCTATGGTTACACTTTTCTACTTTCACGTTCGTTCAAACTGGATTTATTATTTAATAATATGTACTTAAATATGTAACCGTTAACACTAAATACTAATTATAGTAACAAATCCTAGATCTAATTAGAATTATTCAACATTTAGAACAAGTAATAAATAATAAACGTTTTCACGGTTAATACAATATGATTTATAAATATAATATTAACCCAATTATAATATCTCAACATTGTAAAAAAATATTTTTAATTTGTTTACTAAAATCATAGTAATATACTGTAGGTACTGTAATTTAAATTAAATGTAGTTAAAATAAATGTACATTTTTTACCCCACTCGAGTCCAAACTTCAACCACCACTAGTTTGAAAGTATAATTCATACTTTTTATAATAATAAATAATATTTGACAGCAGGGATATCACCTATGTCCTACTACCTTCCTACCTAGCTACCTTCTACGTCCTACGATTTACTCGTTAAATGTTTTAGAACATGATTTAAGTGTATTTTGAAGCCTTATGAAAATATAAACTTTAATTTGCAAAACATAAATGTTGGTTGGTACATACATGTATATTATTTCGGCTTATTTTCTTATTTGCATGCTTATTTTTAATGTGCAGTGTATACTTAAATGTGAATAAATATTATAATAAAATAGAATACAAAATTTACTTGTAAGGTCCGCCGACTGTGACGATGGTTGGCTGTTGTAACTGAATGGTGTGCTCGTTAGGCTGCTCCAACCCTGGCGTACAGCAAGTATCTGTGCAGAATTGCGTTGGGCCGTGCAACATACCCGCACCCACCAGTAGCGTAGGGTCGCCTAACAGATCTTCGCCACCTGCGCACCAATCCATCGACCCCCGTACTGACGACCACTCAACCCCCGGCCATACCGTGTCCTCCCCTGCAATAACCATGTACACAAGAAATAATTTAATGGTAAATAGCCTATATTAGTACATAATCAAACTAGGTACACACAATAAAAAATAATTATGAATACAATATAACGTATGATACTAACAATAAGTATAACCTACATAGACAATCTGCCAGTATCCACGTCGTATAGTGAAAAATTACCGAGAACCCGAATTGCCTCCGGAACCTATACGATCTGTTTGCTTTCATATTTTGTGTTTAGGTTATTTAGGATGCATATGGTAATAACTAAAATCTACATCTTATTTTCCTGTATTGTCATTTACAAATTAAAAATAATACTGTTTAAATTTAGATTATTATTAAAATATTAATAAAATAAATTATGAGTTTGTTTATGGTAGATGTTATTACAGTAAATACACATATGTGTATATAATAATATATGTACCTATGTGTAAAATTATTAGAAATGTACTTAATTACGAGTTTTTTCAATTTTTAATGTAGTTTCTTTTTTTTATTGTGCTAAACAAAATTTAAAATTTGCGTTGTTAAAAATAAAAATTTGTATTAGGTATATTTTTAAAATATGACAATATTACATCGATTTCTGTTATGAGGACGCATTACAGTTGTAATTTAAGGTGTAAATCTTGCCACCTCTTAGCCGTACTATTTTTTCTGTAGTAGAAATAAAGTTTTGATATTTTGGAAAAATATAAAAAACAAAATCATACCTTCAAATGTCGTCGGTTTTTGTTAATTTTAATAGTTTAACTTTTATGATGTACTTAATCATATTTCTCTTATTTTAATTACTTAAATAAAAATCTATTTAATCATAATAAATTAAAAAAATGACACTGTACGTCTTATGATATTGTTTTTTACGTATCAACAAAGTTTTTAGATTCAACAACTTCTACTGACTATTGACTGACTAGGGTGGTTTATAGCTAGCTATATAATAATAACGAAGACAAATGGTGATAAACGTGGAAAATACAAATTATGATAGTCTGATTAAACACTATGTCTATCCTATTCATAATTGCAATTTTATTTGTTATTTTTATTCAGGGCTGATTTACAACGTGTGAACATTAAAATTCTCCAACGTAAGATAAAAGGACCATTTAAATAATATAGGTATAGGTAAAGGTACATTACATTTTCATACATTTACCTAATAGGAACAACAAAGAAATTATTTTATTATGACAATTTTTAACTTTTTGGTTAGTGTAAATTGTTAGTAACTTTTTTAAGTATTACGTACATTTTTGCAGCAATAATCCAATACTCTAAATACTTTGATTCGTGTATTATCTAAAGCGAATTTAAGGTAGAGTAATCCGGCAATGCGAAGATAGATAATTGATTTACAGACAACTGAAATCTATGCATCGCGGCTTCCGAAGAACAACGACCTAAGTGCAATTTCTGAAAACGTCTTTGTGATTTTGTAATCAGGTGAGTTACAAAGTTTACAAAGTCCATAAATAGGATTGCGAATAATTAATTAATGCATTTTTTAAAATTATTTTTTTTTTTATCACATAATTTATAAAGATATTTAAGATTTATAATTTAGAAAGATATTTATTTAAATTCACTCTTCTATAAAATGATACATTTTACAATTATGTTGTTGTTCTTCGGAGGCCTCGATATCAAGTATTAATTATTATGTTGTATTTAAATTTGATTTGTAATAAAATTTCATATTTTTAATTATCTTTAGGTATAGGGTGATAAAAAAAAATAATAAATTAAAGGTAATTTTCTCTATCGTCTATTTAAGGCTTCTTAAGTAAATAAAGAAGCATCCTTTTTTTTTTTTTTGCAATGTATATTTATAATATATTCAGTGGTTTATCACGGTTATTAACATGTACTGTGGAAGGTGAGAATTTAAATTCTTAAGAATTTAAAAAATATTTTAAACATTTCTAGTACATTATTACCCAAGCATAATTTTTATATTTATTTTTCTCAACTTCGCATCGAAACTAAAATGTGTTTTTAAAAATCTAAAATCATAAATAAAAGTGTTGAGTGTTGATATAAAAAAAAATTATCCCATACATATACTAGTAACTAGTTTGATGTAAAATATATTCAAAACTATATTCGACATTCTTAACGAATTCGTTAAAATAAAAAAAGTATCGTCTAGACTGATTTTTTTTACATTTTAACCTTTTCGATATATCGGCAGACAAAATAAAATTGTTGTGTCTACAATATCGATATTGATAAATGTTATATTTTTTACTGTAAACGTAAAAAATAATAATTATTAGTTATAACCATGTTATTATTATGTAAATATTAAATTATACATAACAAAACTTCATTGAGGTTTATGCGGATTCAGGGAAAGTGTGGACAGACACAGAAACGAAAATATCAAAACAACTTTCATAAAAAAAAAAAATAAATAAATAAAAAAACATATTTATTCTCTTTGTATATTATGTATACATACAAAGAGAACCGAGAGGGTGGAAAAAATAAATGTTTAAAAGGAGCGCGTGTTCGCTTTGGCAAAGCGTCCAGGATGGGCGGGTAACGGCGGTTGTCCCTGAAGTCTGCTGTTGGCTAGTTGTGAAGTGGTTGTTTGACCGTCGTTATGGCAACAATATTGTAAAAGGGATTGTGCAAACCGCATTGTTATTGGTTACGGTTGGATGAGGCGAGGGGTGATTGAAGGGCTTCGTTCATTGGTTGACAAACACCGCGCCAGTGTTTCTCTGGAAAAACGATTCCCCGGGCACAGTGCGCTCGAAATGTATTATAGTTACCCCCTCCGATCCCTTGCCACCACCGAACGTCGGTATTATCATAAACGCGTATCCCAACTTTTTAACGGCGTTTCACAATACGCATAATAATATACAGTAGGGATGTCGTTATACCTATTACATATCATATTATTTTGGAAGCCCGTAACATTTTAGTAAAATGTAAATTCCCTCAGCTTCATATACCATTCTGTTCCTTTCATATAATAAGAAAAACATGACTTATTTTCGTACATACGCATTTATATTTCATAATTTTTTATCCGTATACTACGATAATATTTTCAGATAAACTACGAACCAAAACAAGAGTTATCAAAACTTTAGATTTGGCTAAATCGAAAACAAAATTTAGACCAAATTATTTTCTCTAAACTAGGTTTCCTACAATGCCGTATTTAGAGGAAGGCTGAGGGGGCTACCTACAGCCGGCAGCCCTACCCTAACTTTCAGAAAATATAAACAAAAATGCCGGTGTCTTTTAGTCCATCAAAAATGTATTCGAAAAAATCGACTCAATTTTTACTAAAAGCAATTAATGGATTAAACATTGTTGCAAACAATACTTACCCTAATACCACCGGAAGTTGAGAAGTATATATTAACTAACCAATACTTCTTTGAAAAAATGTATGACTCTTTTATTTTTTTTAAATTGTAGGTAACGACTAAATAAATTTAAATTTTCTCATAATATATTGATAACAAAATAAAATTAGTAAGTAATAGCCACTTAATTTTTTTTTAGTTTTTAATAGTCACTACACGGCCCAAGATGCGATCGCCCCCAAGGGTTCAAAACCTCCCCTGAATGATATTGAATGTCTAATATTGTGTGCGTAGTGGCAACAAATTTGGTACCATAATACACTTATCAATAACTCGCCAACATTTTTTAATATACCTACGTTCTAAATAAATAGAAATGTGTTAAAATTCTAAATCAAATTATAGTTATTAGACCGCCTGCGTTTTTAGCGTTAATTAAAGTTTATTAGTGATTAAAAAGAAATATATACCTACTTATTTACCTACTTACTATAAAATTGTTTTTTTTTTGCCGGGGGGTTTGGAGAGATTAAATAGTGCAGTTAAAGGCTTGAGCTCAATGATAGTAAATTCTAAGAAAATGAACGTAAGGGTAAATATAGGCTAAAGAAGTACCTTAAAGTTCATAAATTACATTTTTAACCTCCCACCAGGATTTTAAACGCATTATAAGGATAAGGTCCGGACATTTGTCTTTCTTCTTCTTAAGCATTTACGGTCCCTGCAGAACTCTAGCTGCCTCTACTGCATTCCTCCAACCATCTCTATTTTGTACCGACTCCTGCTCGGCTATTCTGCAATATTTATAGTTGATTCCAACTATAAATATTTATTAGTATATACTACAAGTATCATAGCCGACAATAAAGATTAAAAATCACCATTCTGAGGTGCATTTATTCATATTAACTAGAGCGTCGTGGCAGGGGCGTATTTATGGGGGTGGCTGAGGAGGCTTCAGCCTCCCACCCAAAATTTTTTAGTCTGCCTATGGGCCTATATGATGTGAATTGTAGAAGTTTAATATTGTCAAGTTTTTATTAGGAGTTAGTGCCTCAACCTAACCTATTTACGTTTTTTTTCTATGTGTAGACTTCTTGTAAATCGCGAATGTGTTCACTTTTTCATTTGTCATTTTTCGCTTGAGCAATTTTCTTTTAAATATTTTTATTTTGCTGTTTACCGTGTTTCATATGTCAATGCAAATTGCTTGGAGTCAATTTGAGTAAAAGAGTTACTTTGACCTTATAAACTGCAGCAATGATTTAAATAGTTCTTCCAATACATGATTTTTATATTACATAATATTGAGAAATTACATTTACAACCCAGGAACAAACAATAACAATTTAACTGTAATAATAATAGTGGTATGATTTCTAGGTATTTTTTTATTTGTCTGGAGTACCCTTAAGCCACTCCGTTCAAAAATTAACCCCACCCTCCTCTTTTAAAAATGAAGGGGCATCTAACTCAAAAATAAATTAGCCTTGTGACGCCACTGCTGAAGTTTATATCACTGTGTCCGATTAGACAAAAGTCGAAAGGTTTAGTATTTGAAGCTTAGAATATTAGTCAAACCAAAAAAACCGCGCCCCGTTGTTCACTCCATGACTACAAATAACTAATAGGCAATTATTTTTTATTTTTATTATAATATAATTGTTTAAAAATAGTTGTTTATAATAGCCATAATGTACAGTATTATATGATAATAGTTTAGTTTATACATCTCTAAATTCCATTCAATACTTAATATTCTTTAGAATAATTCATACTTACATTATTTATTTTTATAATTTGTGTTATGTTTAAACATTTTATTTACATTTTCCAATTTTTTATTTGAAATTTCGTTTTATAAACAAATATATACATTTTTAAAAAAATGGTATTTTAATTGTATTTAAATAAGTATAATTTATCTATAAAATTAATATTTTGGAATGCGCTTAATAGGAAATCATGATCGCTTTGGGCATACGGGTGTTTAATAATAGTACACATTGACAAACACCTAGTGAATAGCAATTAGCAAATTTAAAATATTACCAGTGGATGCGGCGGCCGGGTCCAATTGTGCGGACTGCAACAGATCGGCTTCTTCTGTAGACGTTTTTGGGCGTCAAGTCATTTTTGGTTACCCAAATCCGGAACCCACGATTAAGGGTAAAATAATATCCATTCGGCGGTTGCTTGAAGAGATGACGTTGGTGGTGTTCATCGAGTTGCCGTGACCGTTTTTAGTGAATTTATAGAATAAACCATATTTTGCATAGCACCGTAAAATAAAAAAAAATAACTAACTATACAAAGTAAATTTAATTGATTTGGTAAATTTAAGCGAGTGACGTTTACAGTGTGTGACTAGTTTGTTATATTATTATTTAAGTAATCGAAAAAAAATCAATTATTTCTAAAACGAAAACGACGGTAGTAGTACAGTGTCAAGAAAAAACAACACCAGCTCTTGTGTGTTGTTGAGACACTAGCTTTGACTTCACTGACAATGACGACCCTCGACACGATAGCGATTAATGCCATGTGATGGGGGTTGACCACAGAAGGGACGCCGCTACTTGTCCTCCCGTGTTTCTACTTATGTCGCCTACAACTGGTGTCCACTTCTCGGCTCTACGATTGGCGCTTTTTTTTTTTATTATTTAAACCGAACTCGTTATTCTCATACAGTACACAAATGCATGCGTAGGGCAAACAACTCGGCTTAACCGCACCGACAGTCAATCGTGACACTTAAAGCGATCTGGATTACAAATTTACTATAGTTAAGACTATACTATCATAAATCGCAAGGAGATTATAGATCAGAAATAATCACTATTTAAGAGCCAGCACGCTAAAGCATGTTCCATGTTTTATAATTTTAGCCGTTAGGCTTCAAGTAGACTGTTACTTTTTTTTCTTGATTTTTTTATAATTAATATTTCAGCTACTGTGTAAAGCTGAGAAGTATTTGATTTTACAACCATGTGTTTTTCTATTCAGTTCTCATGATATCTCTGGAACCGCTGGATGGTGTGGGTTTAATATTTACTATTTTAATAGCTTTAGAAAAAACATCGAGTAAAAAAAGGGATAAAATAATACAATATAACTTTTTTTAATACAATTGCAAACATTCATAAAATTGGAAATTTATATTACATAATCGAATGAATAAAAGCACATGTTATTAGTCAGTGTTCATCACTCAACTGTGCTATTTTATCCAGTAGATATTGTATGGATAAAATCCCTATGATCATGAATGCTAAATGGTTAATATAAATATTTTGTCATGCGTAGGTACAAAGTGTACTCTGGGTTAGTTCATGTGTACGATTTCAGAGCATTCAAGTAGTTTAAGCTCTTTACATTTGAAGAGCACAGGGGAAGAATGGTAGTAGTCCATTTATGAAAATTTGTTTTTCAAATAGTTTTTACAATATATGCCGTTAATATTTTTTATTTATGTCAATAGGTTGTTTAAATAAATACATTTTTTATTAGAATAGTACTTAATGTGATTTTTTTTGTTCTTATGTAAGAGGGAGAGGAATTCACGAACTTTGTTTTTGCTATGCTCTAAAACTTTCATACATGGACTACTACCGTTCTTCCCCTGTGCCCTTACTTTATGTTAATAAGAATTATACGAGATTTTGTCTGGTTGGTACTCGAGTCTCGAAATTATGAATAAAAATGCAGTACGGCTCTTGACCTAACCCCGTACCGGAAAGGATGTATCGGTTTTGGGTTTATGGTATACAGTTGATATTGGATCCGGAGGGAGGTCGAGTCGAAGGGATGCTCACCGGTCACCTTGCTTCCGGTCATCAACACTGTACAACTTCCTGGACTGACATAATTTTTACTTCCACCACGGCTGGTCGGCTAACAATTTCTTCCCTAACATTTTTTTTCTTTTTAGAAATTCGAAACCGGCCAAACACAGATATACACATAATATGTATTACAGGGTTAAAACTGTTTTGTATTGAATGTCTGCCCCTCCCTGTATTTCACTCGTTCTGCAGCTCTCGGAACCTTAGGCCATCGTGCACTATGTCCTGTCAACCCAACAAGCCGAATCGAGTTACACCGTGGAGTCACACGTCCAGGATCCATTCCATTTCTATTCGTGGCGGACAAGATCTATTACTACACGGTATTATATGGAGAAGCGAGATTCTGCGGTTACGCATTTTCAAAATCCCACGATACCCAATGATATTTGCTCAACTTTTTCTTACTAAGTATAATTATTTCATTTCCTCGATGTTCTATCGATATCGCGCCAAAATTGCCTCCCTTTTTTAAACAAAATTGAAATACAATGATTAATTGTACGTTAAAAATTATTAAAGTAGATAATATTAAAAATGCGTAGAAAAAACGTTACCCATTAAAGTAAGAGCTATACAAAATAACATTTTAGTCATAATATTTCAAAACAAAAACCAAGCTTTATGATGATATGGTTTGATAATTGATAGTTAAACATCACGAAATAAAACATTTCAATAACGATGAAATAACTCTTGACTGAGCGTTATTTTAGGACCAGCCGGCTCCCGGTATCATTTGGCTTCTAGAATGATTATCCGTGCTCAAGTGTTCAATCTGTGTTTCCGTAGTAAAACAACCACGTCAATGTCAATTGAGGATTTGTTATTTTTTTCCGTGTAAACATTTGTCGGGTAATGAATCAACTGCGGTCAGTTTTGAGGCGTGGGTGTTTATTCATCCATCTGCGGGGCACGTGCCTATTACAGGCCAGATGAGCGCTAAGATTTTGACAGTTTTCAATTAGTTATAAAATACAATTTGAAACGTTAACTTGCATCAGAGGGTAAGAAGGCCAATTGGTAATTACTACATTTTATAAAGTAAAACATATTTCACCCAACTCAATTATTACTATTTTTTTAAGTTTAACAGTTATTACCTATAGCTTTATCTTCTTTTTAATTTAAAAAAAAATTCTAACACTTTCATAAATAATTAATGTTTATGTATTACACGATCAAATATAAAACCTTTCAGCTAACCAGCAAATGTTTATCTACTATAACCACTAAAAATAAATAGAATATAAAAATTCGTAAAGGAAAAAAATAATACCTATACCTAAGTCTATACCAGACTTGTTAACAATAAGTCATAACTAATAAATATACTTTTATAGGCTGTAAAAAACAATTTTACAAGGAAAGAAAATATATTTTAAATATTTTTTATAGTTCGATTGTTACAAAAAGTATAGGTAGTATGAATATTAATAATATTACTCGCAAGACCAGGCCAATTTAAGGTCTCTTGTGACATTCTGACCCCCCTCTCACCGAAAATGTAGGGATTATTATCAATTCTCAATACATAGTATTATAACAATGAACGCGTTGGTTAATAGTAACCAGTAAGAACTTCAACACATGCATACAGTAAGAACTTTTAGCCAGGTTACGGGTTTTTGGAAGTCCAACGACTGCATATACACATAATAGGTATACAAATTATCAATGTTATAAAAAATCGATTTTATTCTGATTTGCACTGTATAGTTTCAGTGTACAAGGATGACTGAATGTACCTAAATCGACTACGATTGCATATTGTGAGAAACTATCACTTGTGGTTTTGTCGTTGTAGTCACAATAATAATAACAATAATAAATATTAATATTATGATGCATGTATCGACACAGCCGCCGTCATGGGATAGTAATCCCGGATGGTAATGTCTGCGGACGCGTCGTTCGTCTGGAATGATATAAAACAATATCCACGTAGGCCACACAACACTAAAGTTGGTCACGTCAACTTCCGATCCAGCGAACCCAAAGGCTCTAGTGTTACAGCCGGAGGCCGTCCGCCGCGCGGAGTACTTACACATAATAATATTATCACAGTGTAACGTTTTATGTACGCGATAGTATAATAAAAATGAAAAAATATTCACTTCAAAGAGTAACCAATGACGAGTACGTAATTAGACGATAGGAGTCGATATTATTATGTTTAAGCAAAACACATAACATGCAGTTGCTTTGATCGGATGAGATGCAATGCTCGATGGCGGCGACAACGGTTGCCTATATTACGCGTGTAGTTTCTCCGAAAGGTCACTGGCACTTTTTTTTTTATTCAATCGAGGGCAAAAAATACTGAACAAAAACGAAAAAATCCGGCCGGCCTCTATACTTTAGGGGTTCGTATTAAAAAAAATCGAAATTAAATATCAATAGCTAACAAATAAATGATATAATAAAAATACAGCGTGAAACCGCAACGTTATAGTAATTATCCCTCAAAGTACAACACCGGCACAGCGCACGTACATAAACTGTACAGAGATTACACGGGGTTAAATACTACTCTGTTTATTCTGTAGTCTGAACCGATCTAATATGCGCGCCTATACAATGTCATGTGGGATTTCATACAATAAGCGACAAGATAATCGGACTGTTGTATGCGAAAATAACGCGTGTGCGCCACGTGCCGCGCATTATAGTGGTTACATCTTGTCCTCGTACACGGTATTTAAAATGTACTATATGATATTAGCGGACGACCGCCTGATCTTTTAGCTAAATAATAATTATAATATACACGATGAAAAAATATTAGACCAGACGACAATAAATATCTGTAGGTAAACCGATACTGTTGAAAGATGATGTTTACTTTTATATTTTAGAGAATTGAGATCTTAATTAGATACGCCAGTGGTTTCATCCTGTGGGAAAATAATTTTTTCTGTCCGTAGTGTACAATATGATTGCGATAGCGGCTTAGGAATTAGGTTTACCTTTAAACATAACATAAAAAAAACGTTCATTCGGACCGTGGCCACTAATGTCTAGAAAATAAATAATTTTATGTCACGAAATCAATAAAATCGATAGATTGGCTATAAACTGCATATTATATATAGCATACTGCATATTATATATGTACTGCATATTATATATGTACTGCATAGTATATATATTTGTTATTCATTTTAATATAACGGGTCAAAATAAAATAAAGCGGTCTTCATTTTTCAACATTACAAAAACATTTTTTTTTTTTGTAATATAATAGAATATGGATTTTTTTCCATTTACTTTAATTCTTTGACTATTGCTTGTATTTTTTACTTAGCCACCCCTTCCTCCTTTTTCATTCCTAAATCCGCCCGTGGTGGTTAAAGCAACTATTAATGCAGAATGTGTTTTACCGCATTTTGAAATGTATAAACTATCAACACCTTGTATATTCGTTAAAAATATTTTGATTTTATGAGAACATTTTGTAAATACGAGTACATTTGAGCTATAGATCTGTGATATCTATATATATTACTCTTAATAAATTACAGTGGTGTTTGTCTAAAAAGCTACGTACGACAAACTAAATACCTGTCAAGACTCAGGGGATACATTTTGAATTCGGCGCCCCTTTACCGAATTCACTACAGCGTACAAAGTATCGTGTAAAATGCTTTTCACTAATATGCTTAATATAATATAATAAAAGAGCAGAGAGGGTATCATAGATA